TTCCCCCAAAACTAACATCCTTCCCTTTATATGCAAAGTCTTAAAAATTGAAAATAAAAAGTGGAACAGTTATGCCACAAATGTTACACGTGGAAAGAAAGTTTCTTCCCTTTTACTCGGTACTTTCGGAAACTATACATTTTAATGTTGGCTTCAATGTCTTGCAGTTTAAGTAGCCAAAACTGGAAAGGAGAACTGTGGTGGAAAAAGGACATTTTCATTCAATCCTCATACACTTTCAAGACGTTATTCTGTGTACAATTACTTAACTCGAACACATCTGAATAATAAAGAACTTACAGTAATATCAAATGATGAACTGATCGAAGTGTGGGAGAAAGTGCCTGTTTTCTTCCTAAAGTATCTTCATTGTTTCCAAAACAGATATTCCTAGCATTGGAAATAAAATCCTGTAGACCCAAAGCAAGTCTATACATCAAAACCCATGTAGTTTTACTCTTGAGTATGAAGAGTCACCAAAGGTTCCCCAAGGCAGTGCTTGTGCCACCCACAGTCTCAAATATGACAACCCGAGGTCACCTGGCCAGCAGAGGCTTATCCAATGAGCCAAGGCCCACGTCCCCAGATCCCTGTTGATAAAACCCACGGCCGTGCCCCTTCATGAAAGACTCAGCTCAAACAAGGCTTTTTAAAAGCCCACAGATTACCTTCAAGGATAAAAAATTAAGATATCCATAATGAACATTTGCCTCCCGTATTTTTTACATCAAGCATTTTCTTCGTTCAACACACTTCAACCTACAAACCTGCTGAACAGGATTAAAAGTAGCAACCTCCGATTATTTCCAAGTTATGAAAAGTCTGGTTTTCTGAGGAATAGGTGAGCCGTGTGTATTAAGCAGACATAGCCACCTAAGTCCTACACAGCAGATTGGAAGTGGGGTGTAGAAATACTAGAATGTACATTTATATATTTTTTCTCTTGTCTTTGCAAAGTCTTTTGGTATAGGTTTTATAATTTACAAAGCACATGCATATAATCTAAAAACAAGCATGTATACACTGGATACGCAAGCCTGAAAAAGGTCAGACACTTTAAATGCACAATAAAAAATGTACATTGGTGCCAACACTGGTAGAATTCCCATTCACAGTGAATTATAAAGTAAGACACAAGACAAAATTTTATTTCACAACCGATTATTTTAGGCAGCTGTCTTCCTCAGAGTGGTTTGAGGCTAATTTTTGGAGAGTGCTTTCCCAGGGAAATATAGTCCCCAGGCCTAGGATGGTTCAATATTCAGTCTTTACTGGTTGGAATTCTAAAACTTATCTTTCCAAGAAGTTGCCCCCTCCCTTAAGCCCAAGGTGGGGGAATGTATATAAACTGTATCAACACCTGCACCTCATTTTCCATCCAGGGGACTCAGGAAAACGCCGCATCTGGCCTGCCAAACAGGAAAACAATATTGCCATCCTCGATGAGATGGGCTACAATGTTTCTCTTAGCTAAGATGGCAAGTGTGTCGCTCCTGCTGTGTCATCACACGCACACTGCTAGTGACAGGGCCTTTCCTGGGAACCGGAACTCACTCAGACCCCACTCGGCTTTCTGCCACTCACAGAGTCCTGGCATCCAGCTCTTCAACCCACGACGCACACCCTGAACCTGCTCCAGCGTTGCCTCCAAGAGATCACACATCCTACGTGCCAGCAACACAACATTCAAGGGCAACTGAAGAGTGGCTGGAGCAGCGCGCAAGGCGCTCGGTCCCACTTAACTCCTTGGCGCTCTTCCTCCGCAGTCGTGTGCGGACCCTCTCAGACTCTTTCTCGGGCGCCCGCGGGGTGAGGAGCGGCCCCAGGTCGGCTGCGTCACCGGAGCCCAGGCGGGAGGCGGGCTGGGGCTGGCCGGGCGGCGGCGGCGGCGCAGGCCCATAGCCTGGCTCCTCGGCGCGCCTCTCGAGGGACCCAGTGGTTCGAGGGCCGGGTTGCTGCCCTGGATGTCCGCCGGGTCGCGGTGCCTGCAGGCCTTGCGGACTATCCACATGTACAACCGGCGAAAACCCCAAACGATTATTTTTTATGAGCCAAATAAGAGAGTGGGATCAAGCAATTTTTAATTCCTTGTAAACCACAAATCCCTCCCCACTGTAAGGTTTTAAAGTTATTTTTAAATCAAGCGCTCAAAACACCTTGCCAATCCCGAGGAGCCAAATAGGGGGAGACGGGTAAGACGCTTGCGGAAAGCCTCCCGCTCCCGCGAGGCCATTCCCGCGTGGCCGGCCAACTGCTGGAGGCACCCTTCCTAAAATTTAAGGGGAAAAGCTACGAGTCAGACCTTCCCAAGGTGAGGTGGCATCCGTCACCATAAGGCAAGAGCGCCTGAATTATTTAATGGAGCCTGTTGTCACGGGAGGCAACTCAGCAAAGTAGCCCATTTTAAAAACTGAGGAACACTGTACATACAGCCAAACAACTAGGTCTAGGCGTTCGGTCCCATCACAATCAAAGCGAGGTCAATCATCCTGCAAAAGTCCCCCCATGCTGTTTTCCGAGTCAAAAGGATGGCTTTTTAATGAAACCGTATTTTAAAACTGTTACCCATCGCTTCCTTCGAAGGAAAAGAATAATTTAAGACCATGTACGAACACGATGTCACTTTTCTACTCTTTTCACACCACTGGTTTGTCGCCTTTAATCTCACCTTTCCTAGCATTCTAAATCCAGAAAAGGTTTAAAAATTAATTTCCAAGTTTCCTTTCAATGAAAAATTGAAAAGTGGGGGGCGGGAGGGGGGTAGATTTTGCTCAGAACTTCAAAGTCTCATGTTTTTAAAGGACCTTTAGTTTAACACTGCAATATCTTAATGCTTGTGCCAAACAACTTTAACCTAGTGTAGCACATGTTAAAAAGCAAAGTTTCAGGGCAGCCAGGTACCTCCCAGGGTGAGAGGAGGTTTACTTTGCATTTTACACTCTCCCAACCCATTTGAATGGTTTTATAATTTAAAAAGTGTATAAACCTTTTACAAGTCTGGCAATGCTGAGCATCCACTGTTTTAGCCCAAATAAAACGTTATGTGGATCTTTAACTAGGAATATAAATAAAATCTGACATTTAAAATCAACTGCTGGGAAGGAGGATTCAATCAACAGCCCTCCCAGGAGTTAAACTATGGCGGGTTCAAGTCACCCTCGCCCCTGCACTCCCCGCCCCCCATCTCTCCATCTTTCCTCTCCTGAGATTCAAAATGATACTCAGCTCAATCATTTCCCTAGAAGTGGTGAAAGAACATACTGGAAACAGTCACCCGTGAGTGTCAAACGCTTTAAATGTGAGTCCATTCAAAGCTTAAAAACCAAGGAAGAGAGTGACTTCTCCTTAGCTTCACACCTAGAAGGAAACTTTTAAGGTTGAGGCACCCACAACAAGCAGATTAGAATTTCAACTTTTTTCCAATAGGAGAAGCCGATTTAAGGCCGTCAGGCAATAGCTCCGCCTTCCTCCCCAAATAACAGGTTAGGAGTGGAAAATGCGGCGCCGTGCAAGCCTCTGCCCAGCTTGGTACCAGCACGCCCACTCCAACTAGAAGGCAGCAACTCCCACTATGATTTCTTAAAGTCTCCGCTGTCTTCTGCACTACGTCCAATGCAAGACTAACGGAAATACACACACCTAGAGTACCCCCCCTCCCCCGCCATCTCCCGGGTCTGCAGACAGATCGCGTACGTTACCGACCCTCTCTGCAGATCCAGCTACTAAAAATTTTCGGCCCTTTCCAATAATGGTTCGTAAGAGTGGGAAGAAGTGTCACACGGTGTGAAAAACCAGCAATAAACAGCAGCCCAAAGAGAGAACTCAAGCGCACAGACTGACCCCCCGGGTTCAGGCCGCGTGCAGCGGGGTTAGGTATTTTTTTCCCCAGAGAAGTTGAGCCCCTGATTAGGTGGGGTGAAGACACCTCCCAATCTGGGAACCTGGTTCCAGTAGGGATCAAAGGTGGGGCGGCCCGAGGGACAGTCCCCCAAATTCCGCTTCTCTAGGAGCAGTTCTGGGCCCACGAGGCCCTTGTGCCCACGTTTTTTTCCCACAGCACAGTAAACAACCGCGGAGAAGGGTTGCAGACCGAGGACCCCTTGGCCCTCAAAGATCCGGATGCCCTCAGACCCAACACGAAGAGACGACGACTAACACCGTGCTCCCAACAAAAAAATACAGCCTTGCCCCAGAAGCGCGCACGCGGAAACCAGGTCTGCAGGCGCACACGCATTCCTCACCCACCACTCACCCCCACAGCCATCTCTTCCTGGATCACGCCCCACTTAAGAGCAACCATCTAGGAGTTTTACAAACAAAAAGGAGGAACGAAGTGAAAGGAGAGCCTTCAGCACGTTGGGAGGCCCCTACTGTGCCCGCGCAAGGAGACCACATCTACAAACACATAGCACATGTTCTTCCATCTCGGGTCGTACTTAAAGCCACAGCATGTACGCTTTGTCAAACAGAAATGAAATGAGGAAATCGGAGTTCACAAAGACGAGGTGGGGGTGTCCTCCAACCTCGGGAACAGGGGCGGCGGGAACCCTCGCACAAGGAAACCAGATCTACACTGACCCCACACCTAACTCTTCCCACCTCGTATCTAATTTAAGAAAACGGTTGCCACGTTTTGTCACAGAAAAAATTGGATGAGGAAAAGGGGGAAAGGAACTCCGTGTTTTGGGACTCCTCCAGGGGACCGCGCAGCAAAGCACACAGAAAGCAAGTCTTCCATACACACACACAGACACACAGACACACAGACACACACACACTCCCACGACTACTCGTGCTAGTTCTTGGTGGCAAGGACCGCCACCCACCCAAAGGAAAAAAGACATTCCGAAAGAAGACGACTTCCCCACCCACCCACCCACCGCTTTGGGATGGGCCCTGCGCGGCCCTTTGCGAGCGCTCCCGCGGTTCCCGGGTGGGCACACGCATACACGCCCATACCCTACCGGAGGACGCCCCCTCGAAAGTCACCACACACTCACCTCGTCGTCGTGCTGCTGGCAGAAGCCGAGGCGCTCAGGGAAGACCGAGAGGATGGAGAAGGGCGGGCCGGGGAAGGGCGCCCCGAGCCCGAGCTGCTGCGCCGCGGCCGCGGCCGCGGCCGCGGCGGGACCCGGCGGGCCGCGCTCGATGTAGTGGTCCTTGGTGAGGCGCACGCGCTGGTGCGCGCGGACGCAGTTGTCGCACAGGTGTTCCTGGCAGTCGAGGCAGCGCGACGAAGCGGCGTTGCCCTCGTCGCAAGAGCTGCAGCCATGCGGCCGGCGCAGCAGCAGCGCCGACGGGGAGGCAGCAGGTCCTCCTGGAGCGGAACGAGAAGGAGCGGGCGGCGGCGGCGGCGCCTGCGGGAGCGCCGGCGCCGAGGCAGACGCACGAGGGTGCGCGTGGTGCGCGTGGTGCCGGTGGTTGCTGTGGCCGCCCGCGGCCGCTGGGGCTCCGGCACGCCCGTTCTTGGGCGGCGGCTCGTCGGCGGTGGCCACCACGGCGTCGAGCAGGTTGCTGAGCAGAAAGGCAGACGAGGGTAGCGCGTCCATGCCCGCCGCCTCGGCCAGAACTACTTTCTGGTCGCACACAGGGCAAAGCAGTTTGAGTGGCTCTCCTGGCGCACTGCCGCCGGCCGCCGGCAGCCGGTGCGCCTCGAGGCACGGGCGGCAGAAGGCGTGCAGGCAGGGCAGGACGTGTAAGCGGCGCGCCGCGGCCCCAGGGCCCCCGCCACCGCCCCCCGACGACGTGGACGTCTGCGAGGACGAGGACGACGCAGACGAGTTGGAGGAGAGCGGCGCCGGCGAGCCGCATATCTCCTTGCACAGCAGGCAGATCTGGAAGTCGGTCTCAGGGAACGAAGCCATTTGCAACCAGGCCCGGAGGAGGGAGGAGACCAGAGAGGAAGAGGAGGAGAGGAGAGCGCGGACGAGGTGGGTGGGGGAGCAGCCGACTCACTCAGAAAAATGCATCTATTAGGCCTGCAATTCAGGAGCCCGCAAGAGAGCGGCTCGGCCCGCTTGGCCTCGCCACGTCCGGCCCTTCGCACTGCCACCCCCGACGCTGCGGGCATTAAATGCCACTATCCAGAGGTGACACAGATTCTTCCCGGACGACGTGGGGGCTGCGTGCCTTACGAACCGGGAGCGCCGGAACAAGTCCCGACTCGCGAGGGGAGAGCGGGGGCAGGGAGGTCAGAGGACTCCCTAGAGCAGCTGGAGCTTAGCTTAGCGTCTCGCTCGCGGAGGTAAGTCCTCTAGAGTAAAGTCCAATGTGCAATCCCAGTCCCGGCGGGAGAAGCAAAATTTGGTTTGACGAGTATTTGGTGCGTTGCTTTTCTTTAAACGAATTTAGTTAGTCTCTTCTTTGGAGAGAAATGCTTCCCAAACTAGTAAAGGCGGGAGCGGCGTGACGCCAAACCCGTGTCCCCCCGCGCGACGCCGGCCGCCCCACCGCATGACGCGGCGGCCAGGGACTCCTGGGTGGCCCGGCGTGTGCGCTCGGGCTTGCGCACAGCCGGGCGCGGGCGCCGCAGCAGCTGCAGGTCGTATGGGCCCAGCCACGGCCGCACGCGTGTAGTAGTACGCACGCGCGTCCCACGCGCCTCGAGTCTCCCGCGCGCCTGCCTGGCCTCGGCTGCCGATACTTAACACGCACGCGCGCCCCACGCGGCCCAGGGCCCTCGTGCCTCCGCCTCGCCCGGCCTGGGCTCCTCCCGCGCGCTCCTTCCTCTCGGTTTAGCAGCGCTGTAGCGCGGGGCCGCAGGTCCCCGCGGGCCGTCCTGAATTATTCATCCGCAGGAAGATATTAGATGTACCCGCTGCCCGCTCCGCGCGAGCCGTCGTGCAATGCTATCCGAGCTCCGCGCGCGCCCCGCGCCCCTCCTCCTCCTCCTCACGTCCGTCCTCTCTGAAACCTTGGCAGCGAAGGGGGATCACATTTCCTTTGTCATCGGGCCATTTCTCCCTCGCCTTAGTCCCCCCTCCGATCCCGAGCCGCGGGGACGGAGCCTCCTCCGGGGCGCGCAGGAATCAGTGGAACCGGCAACGGCCCAGCGCGGTGAGCTCTGGAGCCGCGTGGCCAACGCCGCCGGCCCGCGCCCGCGTCATCTTCTTTCTGAAACGGAGTCGCCGTGCAAGACTCGGTAGCCGCGGCCGCGCTGCGCCTACCAGGCTTTGCTCGCGCCGTGCGCCCTGACCTCCTGGGGCTTTGCACAACTCCCCCAATTCCGATTGCGTGCGTGCACGCGCGCGCGCGCGTCCCCTCTTTCTCTGCTTTGCCGCCTCTTCCTCCTTCTCCTCCTCCTCCTCTTAGTACGGTGGTTATTGGGACTGATCGGAATTCGGAATCCTTTTAATCTCCAAAGGAGCAAACTCACTTCCGCCCGAGTGCTGGGAGGGGGCTGGGGGAGGGGACTCAGGGGAGGGGGTTCCAGGCAAACAGGAAACATTAGCCCTCTCTGCATGGCTCGCTTTTGTGTGCTCCCTCCCTCCTCCCTCCAACCTCCTCCCTTCTCCAGGCCGCTGGGGAGATGAACGCCCCCAGGCTTCAGTGTGACGACCTTTGAAACCTTCCGAGCGAGGAACGGAGAGCGACTCTTCCGTTTATTTAAAAAAAGAAAAGAAAGGAAAAGATTTCATTCTGAATCCTGGTGCAGCAGAAGCTGATATCCACTGCCTGTGAGATCTGGGCTTCCCCCCCCCCCTTTTCTTTCTTTATTTCCTTTTTTTTTTTCTTACGTTTTCTTAAGGATTCTGCATACCCGTGATCAACACCGAAACACGCGGTTGTGTGCAGTTGAATGGGTGGAATTAAACGAATCTGAATTCTGATCTCAGGAGGGGCCCGTTTCCTTTGGAGTTATAAGGAGGGGTGGGGGCAGAGGGCAGCTGTTCAGGGGAGGCTACTGGGGGGTGGCCCCTCGGCCATCTGGGTGGTGCCCCAGGCTGCCTGGGCAGTTCTGGGAGAGGAACTTGCTTGCCCCTGGAGAGAGACGGACTCGGGAGAGCAGAGAGGACCACATACCAGGATTTAGAGGGTATCTGGTCTGGGGGCCAACGGGGTGAACAGTTGTCCGCATCTGAACACTGTCAAGCTATTAGTGACATGTCGGATTCTACTTCTTCAGGCAACAACAACCTGGATGAACCTCGAAAACATCACGTTAGGAGAAGGATGCCAAACACAAGAGCCCATACTTTGTGATTCCATTTACAGGAAATTCTAGAACAGGCAAAACTAAGCTATGGGGATAGGAAAATTACCCTTCGGGGTGAGGTATATTGACTGGAGGTGGGGGTTTGGGGGCATAACCCCCAAAGGGAACCTTCTAGGGTACTGATAGAGAAATACTGTATATTGGTGTCTCCATTTGTTAAAACTTGTAAGTCTGACATTTAAGATCTATGCAGAATTTCACGGTGTTTAAATTATACTTCAATAAAGTGAAAGAAAATAACATAATTTGGTGTCCAACCTGAATAACCATGCCTGGATTATAAAGATTTAGAAGAAAAAAACAAAACAAAAAAACCCCACTTAAGTATTCCCAGCTCCTCCTCTGAGTTTGCTCACCAGAATTCAGGGAGTTTTCCAGGGAAGGAAAGGTCAACCTGGAAAGAGAGCCTTTAAATCAACTCAGCTGGACCAATGTGCGGAGAGTCCCAGACTGCAGAAACCTGCCCAAAAAGGACAGAGCCTTTGAGGGGCCCAGGTGCAACCCTGGGCCTGGCAGCCCCACTAGGAAGGCCCAGGTCCTCCGCTGCCCACAGGAGTGCTCTCCTCAACACCTGGAGTCAATCTAAGCTCAGCGAACATTGCCTGAAATACGTAGTAAGTGCAAAAATTATTATCAAATAAAAGCAAAGCACGTCAACTATATCTCAGTAAAACTGGAGACACAACACAGAGCTCTTTGTTTGCAAAGGGAAAGGAAGGTAGAATTTTCTACTGCAGAGAGGAGCATCTCGAGCTACCATCTGCTGCCTTTATGAGTTTATTAGCTTCTTTCATAGTTTGAGACCCGCGCGTAGACGTGCACACATTCACACAGGACTCCACACTTGCCTATAGAGTTTTCCACCACACTGGTCTTGCTATGGAGGTGTTGTGTGTATTTTGGAGGTTGGTTTCTTTTCCTTTCTTGGATTGTTTTCCATTCCCTCCCCCCTTTTTTTAAAAAACAAAAACAAGAGGAAAACAGATGGGGGAAGAGAACTGCCAGAAGGGAAGATGGCCCCAGAGGGTCAGAGAAAAGGATGGTCCGGACCTGCTGTCTCCTTCCTGGTTGGCCCCACCCACCAGCATCCTAAAAGGTTTATTAAAACGATGATGGGGTGGGGAGAGTTGGAGGGCAGATTTGAACCGTCCTCCAGGTCCTGTTACTCTAAAATATCTTGCAAGTGGAAAGCGGAGATGAGATGAGAAATCAGCTGAGACTTCACGGAAGAGCAGAAAGGCTGTAACTCCAGCAAAAAGAATCAAACTTGAAAGCAGTTGGTGGGTGAGTTTCCTGGGGACAATTGCTCAGAATAAGCTGAAAAGAAAAAAGAGGGGAGTTGAGGGAAGAAAGGTTTTGATTTCTCTTCACAAAAATAGCTTTCCTTTCTTGAATTGATAGAACACTGCGAGGAAACAGGGCTGTGCTATAAATTGTTAAATTAGCACATTCCTAATTTCCATTGATTTGATTTACCATAGGTAGGAAAGAGGGAACTCTTTAAAGCAACTAATTTGATGGTACAGAAATACAGCTATGATTTTTTTTTTTTTTTTTAGTTGGTATAATGATAAAGAACAAATTAGGATTACATTCTAATTAGGCTTATCCATGAGAGGAACAAAAGCCATATATCCAGATGAAAGGCTGAAGACAGTCCCCTGCTATAAACTAGTATTAAAGTTTTCATTGCATCCTAGCTAATAAACACCCTTTCTTAGCAAGGGAGGAGCACGCAGCCTTCCAGTTTTCCCTCTGCAAGTTAACATTAGGAAGGGAGTCCATACTGCCTTCTTTCTTTCTAAATTGGCATTCTTAAATTTATCTGTAACCATATTTTGTTTCCAAAGATGACACTGAACCCTGCTGCTCTCTGACCTGGGGTTCAGGATTAGACCACATTTTCATCAGAATGACGTTGCATCTGCTTTTTTCAACTGACCTTTTAATTTCGCACCTGATGAGCCCACTTGTCTTGATGTCAAAACTGTACCTTCACCATCATCATCGTCCTCAGTGTATTCATATAATTTTTTCAAACATAATTCACCAGAGTATTTTTTTAAACATTACATCACAATGACTATTTTGAACAGTGGGGATGGGTGGGTACTAGGCTATGTAGACAAACCTTTGGTTGAGTCATTGCGTCCTGCCAGTTGAGGGGGGATGGAGTACAGCTCTAGACCAACTCTTGACTCTACCCTGACTCTGGCCTTGGAATCATTAACAGAAGTGTGTCAGGTGCTTTTTATATCCCAGAGTTCAGAATAGCAGTAAGTCAGATGATAGAGGTAAACTCTGGTCACCTAGATCTTAGAAATGACAGTAGGAAAACTTGAATTGTACATGTGAAAGCTAAAAGTAGTTCAGAGCTCAGCTAGGCTTACATCCCAGCTTCTTCACTCTTAACTGTGACCTTGGGCAAGTTACTTCTCTGTGCCTCAGATTTTTCATGCATGTAATGGGACTGGTACAAGTACCTAGCCCATTAGGGTTAAATGAGCTACTAAGTGTACAGTTTTAGTGTAGTACCCATCACATTTCAGGCACACATTTAAATATCTTTCTGTTTGTATTATCTTTATTCAGCACATGTTACATTTTAGCTAAGCTCTCAGCCTCAATTTTCTAAAATGGAAACGTGTC